CTGCACCTCTGCAGGTTTTGCAGCTGAGCCTGGGCAGAGCGATGCTGCAGAAACCTTCAACGTTTCCCACGAGTGGGTGGTGCTCCCTGTGGGAGCTGCTGCTCTGGCACAGGTGAAAACATGAAAGTCAGTGGAGTTTTTCTTCAGGAGAGCTGCACAGGTGACCTCCTGAGGGATACCTGGGCCCAGCTTTCCCAGCAGTTGAAGACAGCAACCCCCGTATCTGCTTCTCAGATCCCTCCTCTTAAAGGTTCATGGCTGAGGCTGGCCAATTTTGTCCTAAGATTAGGTTCCTTTCCTAATATAGATAAACCCTAAGAGGATGAGAATTAGGCCATACCACCAGTGAACAATAATGAACTGCCCTCAGCATTTCTCCCATTCCACATGTGAAGATGAATGGGGTGTTCAGAGATCAGACAACTCAAGAAAAGAGAAAGAAAAGTTCGTTAGCTCCAGCTAACAAGCCTATTCATTTGTAAGCATAATTTGAAACAGAAGGGAAAAAAGTCCTGATGTCGATCATATTACAAAAGGACAAAACTGGCAAGGAAAGAAAATTAGTGCTATTACAAAGAATGGAGAGTTAAAATAAAAATCTCTGAAAGAATTATATTTCACCAATACAAGCGGTTTTGGCATTAGGCTTGTTTGTGTAAAGCTTCTCAGTTAAGAAGGCTGAGTTCTCAGTCTTCAGTACATGGGTGTGGAAGTGACCCCCTGATTACAGCTCATCACATTTTATTGTTCATCAGATGAACAATATAAATGAACTTTTAGATTTCTACATGCTATTTGTTCTCTGGTAATTAAGAGATGAATTGACTACTTTTGTTTTCCTTTGTTGTTTTTCTTTTTTTTTCTTATTTTTTTCCTTTTCCAAATCCACTATATGTAGTTGTTAGACATAAAACCTTACAGAGGTTGATTACTGCATCTGTTTTCATGTATACGACCAGCAAAAAAAGGTGAAAGAAAATAACAGTATTTTGTGTCTGTGCACAGGTATGAATATATACAATAGATTAAAAAGAAAACCCTCAATCAGTTGCCAAAGTTCTCAAGATCAATAATTTGTGAGTAGAAAAGGATTTGCGTATTTAATGTGATTGTGTAAATACAACTTCAAAGTACATGTTTTTCAAGTTTTTGTGGTGGAGTTTGATATTGTTTTCCTCCATCATTTTTTGAACTGGAATGGCAAATATCAAAGTTAGAAGAGCAGAGCAGAGTTAATATGCATCAACTGATAGAGGATTGCAGCTGCTAACAGCCACAATCCCTTCCAGCAGTAACTGTACCTCTCTATCACAGAAATTCCATGTAGGTTAAAATCTTCTACCTTTTGCATATAGTTTTACATTGTATAAAATAAAATTTAAAAAGAACCCACAACAAAAACACCCTATGTTCTCAGAGGCCTCAAGTGACTCCAATTCCAGAGGTGTTGACAGAAAATCCAGCACCATTAACTGTGGGAAGCCACATCTTAAAGTGGTTAGGTGCTCATTACCTCCATTCTTTGATTTGCATAGGAAACCTCTGCCTCCTCTACTTTTTGCAGTGCTGCTATTTATCACAGAGGTATAGTCATATTCCAATTTAGTGTCAGCAAGGGGCACTGATGGCTCATGATCTGCTGCATGCACAGCCAAAGGTCTCGTATCTTTGATGTTTTGGCACTTTGTTCCTCTGTGCTTAGCAGACCAGTTCTGAGGCTCCTACACAGTAGACTTGAGGGAGCTGCAAGATGAGAGCCCAAAAGTCTTACGCAGGTATTTCACAGTGCACAAGATATGAAAAATTGCAGTATTTATGGTGATGTTTACCCTTTTCCCAGTAAGAAAAAGCTTTCCTACTACACAACACACATCCTTATGCTCACATATGCACAGTCCTTGCCCTCTACATGCCCAAAAGCTGTCGCTGAAGCCCGCCATCCCTCCCAGACCGCAGAGCACTATTGCTCCCATCCTTCAGTCCAGAGAGAGAGTTTCAACACCATAACCTTGTGATACATTTACCCCAATTAAATAGCTGACTTCTGTGAAATGTTTCCCTCTCCTCCCCCTCTTTTCCATGCTATTTTGTGCTATGTGTCTCAACTCCCTTGAGAGGGGAAAAAAAAAAGTGACACAAGCCCAGCAGGGAATTTATCATAGAATCATAGAAAGGTTTAGGTTGGAAGGGACCTTAGAGATCACCTGGTCCATACCCCTTGCCACAGGCAGGGACACCTCCCACCAGACCAGGTTGCCCAAAGTCCTGTCCAACCTGGCCTGGAACACTTCCAGAGAGGGGGCAGCCACAGCTTCTCTGGGCAACCTTTCTTCCTAATATCCAGTCTACATCTACCCTCTTACAGTTTAAAACCATTCTCCTTTGTTCTATTGCTACCTGCCCTTGTGAAAAGTCCCTCCCCAGCTTTCCTATAGGACCCCGTCAGGAACTAGAAGACTGCAATAAGGTCCACCCTTACTTCTTTCACTTCCATTCCTTTTTACGGTAATACTTCCAGATGTGAGGACATGGGGTGTTCATCCTGTTTCCTCAGCCATTTCAAGGTTTATTGACTGTGTAGGAGATGAAAGTTGCACAGCAGGCTCTTGGAGTTGAAAGCTATTTGTTTACCCTTTGATCAAACCCAAATACTTTTCTGCCAGATAAAATGTATCATCAGGCAGATTCTTTGAGCAGGTTTCCATGCAGCAGCCCACATACCCTACATTTCTCTCCTTCTGGCCCTCTGCAATACGCCGGCCTGGCATTTCTTCAGCAAGGTATTCCGCTAGCTCAGGAGAGCACCACTGTCCTCCAACCCTCTCTCAGACCTGATGAAGTTCTGAAAAGGGATTTATTTGCCCTCATTTTTCTGTCCAGAAATGTAAAGCCAGAGCTTGTCACCCCTAGCTTCCTATTTTTAAGTAATTTGTTACCCTTGTTCTCTCACAACCCATTGGGTCACCCTTCTGCAGTGGCATGTGTTATCCAGCAGTGCTTGGAGGAAAGGAGCTCTAGAGAGGAAATACCCCTTTAGGTTGGGGTTTAGGCTCCTGAATGCAGTTCAACGCTCTTTTGAAGTCTCAAGAAAGAAATGGAAGATTCCTGGGACCATTTGGAGCTCTCATTCTGGGTCCTCCATCATGACAGGCAGTCAACAAACAGGAGTTGTAAACATAGAGAAACCATTCCTACTGAAGAGCTGATATTTCCCTTCATAGGACAGAAACTGTGAGCCCTTCAAGAGGTTCCTGCAGCAAGGCTGATTTTCCGCCTGGACTACAAATTATTGCCTATGAATTAGGGAGCAGCCATTCCAAACTGGGTCTAGAGGTTCAGACATCCTAAACCAAATTACCTGAGCTTAGTTATTTGAGGGATTTGGATTTTAAGAAGCTTTCCCACTTTTTAAAGAATTGTAATCAAATGGTTCATTTCATAGACATGATTAAAATGGTAATGTTGTCTAGGACTAATGCTTTCTCCTACCTTAGTACCCAATTTGTTGGTTTATGCACCTGCCCAAATTCCTCCCTAAGATAATATATATTTATTCTTGTGTTTGTCAAATTAAAAATTGCATGTGGTTAAATCAGTTGTGCAATTCATACTTTCCTCAGAGAACTAAGCACATTACGTATAGTACCTGCCAAATATCCTGCAAAAGACAAAGATATGTTTTTTTGAATTGAGTAATAGCCATAAGATTTTCTGGTAGTTCCTTGCCAGTAATCAGTGATCTACAACATGTTTGATACTACTAAAAACCCATTTCAGCATGAGACAGACCTTCAGAGCTGAGGAAGGGATTAACTTCTGGCTGTCAGCTAGCAGTGGGCATGGTTGTATTCCCATCAACAGGGCAACCAGCCTGCACATACATGCAGTAGAAGGTATGTCCACATCCTTTTACCAGATACCCTCATCTCCCACCGAGACTCCTAACCTCTCCATCTTCTTCCTGCATCTCACATTTGGGTCCTCCTTAGCACCCTTACCTCACCTCCTAATACAGACCACCAATGGACCATCCACTTTGCATGCACAACACCCCCATGGTTGCCCCTCAGCAGGAGCTCTGTGAGATTTGTGATTATCCTCTGGCTCATCTGAGCTCTTGCACTTTAGGAAACGTGGTAGCTCTCAGTGACCTCTCCTCCTTTGAAGCAGTTTGCAGCGCACCAGTGATACAGAGTTCAGCAGCATCTGAACTGAGTAATTGCTATTTATGTACACAAATAAACGCTCAGGGGCTTTTGTGTCAACCTCTGCTTTCAAATTAGGCAGGCATAATATTGCAATTATTTTCACGATAAAGACTAAGAAAATGGAACAGGATTTTGGGTTTAGATGCATCAGGTTTCTCTGGGAGACTGCCCATTTCTGCCTTTTTAAACAAAACAAAACAAAACAAAACAAACAAAACAAAACAAAACAAACAAAACAAAACAAAACAACCTTTTTCTCCTGATCTGCTCCGGATTCTCTGAGGGAGAGTTTGTTCAGAAACAACCTCATTTTTCCTTCTATTTTTCTCACTTTCTTTACCCCCTGAAGGAGAAAGCACATAGAGTCTAAAGGAGAAAGGATATGAAAAGATGTGATGTACATTTACATCTACAAAGTGCCCTATGTTTTCTTCTTAGCTGAATTGAAACTGAAACTGAAATTTTCTTAAATTCATAAGAAACACAGTTTTGTGACTTCCTGTACCTACTGGTTAAGGAACCAAAATAAGTCCTGCATGGGATGTCTTAACAGCTGAAAACTGGAGCACAGCTGAGCAATTGCAGGTCCTAAAATCAAAGGGCCTAATCTCTCCCTAAATGATCAACATTTGCTCCCTTCCAGGCAAGGCTGGTTGGAAGCAGAAATTGCTTTACCAGAGAGGGACTTATTGTTTGTACATAATAATCATCACTGCAAGACTTCATATTCAGCTTCCAGATGATTCCAAGTCAAAATCAGATAGAAATGCATAGAAATTGTGGGCCACTTACATTCCTTGGTGTTAGGAGGTGCCAACAAGCACGAGTAGCAAACCATCCCATATATGTTTCGAGGTCTGTTTTCCAGCATGTAGTAACTGAAATGAAAGGCAAGATGAGGCAAAACAGTGTGAATTAATATGCTAAAGCTGATCATGGTTCAGCA